AGTCAGTCTTGTAAGAGTTAGGTCTATTTATGGCATTGTCGTCTTGGTCATTTATCTTTTGAGTCCTTAAAAGTGGTGTTTCCAGAGTTGTTTAAGTCAGTGTCAATTTCAGAATTTATTGTCAAACTTGCCAATTGAGTAAGCAGTGTAGAACTCATTTTTCTTCAAAGAATAATAAATCTGAATTTCCTTTCCACATTGTCCATTCTGATGTTTGGGGCCCTGTTACTTTAACATCTGAGAGTGGCTACAAGTATTTTATTACCATTATCAATGATTACTCCAGATATACATGGGTATATCCCATGCGAACCACGGATGAAGTACCAAAAATTATCCAAGATTTTTAACGGATGATTTTCACCCAATTTCAAACTAAAATAAATTTTTCAATCAGACAATGCCAAAGAATATTTTCATAGTGATCTCATGGAATTTTTTGCTTCACGCGGTTCACTTCACCGTAGCTCTTGTGCCCGAACACCACAACAAAATGGTGTTGCTGAAAGAAAGAACCGACACCTTTTTGAAGTGGTCCGGGGATTACTAATTCATATGAATGTCCCAAAACGTTTTTGGCTTGAGGTTGCTAACTATTTCATCAACTATATGCCCTCTCGTTGGTTAGAGTACAAAGCCCCACACCAACTTCTTTTTCCTAAGGCTCCCCCTTCTTTCTATTCCTCCTCGTGTGTTTGGTTGTCATTGTTTTGTTCAAAATCTGTCACCCACTCGTGGAAAATTAGACCCTCGTGCTATTCCTTGCATCTTCTTGGGGTATTCTTTCACTCATAAGGGAACCGTTGCTTTGATCTTGTTTCTCAGAAGTTTTATGTTTCCATGGATGTCTCTTTCTTTGAGAGTGAGCCTTTTTTCCATGTTTCTCCTCAGGGGGAGTGTAGGAATGAGGAGAAACTGGTTCAACTCCCTCCTCTTCCTGATCCTCCTCCCTTTCGTGTCTTCTTTCGTCGTCACAAAGGCCAACCATGTTCAAGAGCTGTGGAGAACCTAAAAGTTGTACCACCAATGCCATCAAACTCTCTAGGGGCGGATCATACCCATTTAGGTATCTTGGTTCCTATCGATGTTCCTGACCCTATTGCTATTGAAACTTCTACTGCTAATGACCTTGACCTTCCTATTGCTCACTGGAAAGGTGTTAGATCTTGCACCACTAAACACCCTATTTCCCACTTTGTTTCCTATGAAAACATTTCACCCTCTTTTCGGGCCTTTCTCACTTCCATTGACAATGTTCCTATCCCTAAGAATGTGGCAGAGGCCCTTTCGATGCCTAAATGGACAAATGCTATGAAGGAAGAAATTAATGTTCTACATAAAAATGGCACATGGGAACTAGTAGATCTTCTTAAGGGAAAGGATCCAGTTGGATGTAAATGGGTTTTCACAGTTAAACATAGAGTTGATGGCACGATGGAGCGGTATAAAGCTCGTTTAGTGGCAAAGGGGTTTACACAAGTGTATGGAGTTGATTATGCAGAAACTTTTGCACCTATTGCCAAGATGAACTCCATTAGAGTCCTTTTCTCCCCTGTTGCTAATCTTGACTGGGATCTGCATCAGCTCGGTATCAAAAATGCCTTCCTAAATGGTGACCTTGAAGAGGAAGTATACATGGTACAACCCCCTAGTTTTCGGGCTCAAGGTAATGAACAGAAAGTGTGTAGGTTAAAGAAATCATTATATGGGCTGAAACAATCACTAAGAGCCTGGTTCAGCAAGTTCCATGCAGCGGTTCAGCAGAAAGGATACAAGCAGTGTCAATCTAATCACACATTGTTTGTGAAAAGAGGGGAAGGTAAAATTGGAGCACTGATAGTATATGTTGATGATATAATTATCACTGACGATTGGAAGGATGAAATTCAAAAGTTCAAGATTTTTCTTGCTACCCAGTTTGAGGTAAAGGATCTAGGTCCTCTAAGGTACTTCCTTGGAATTGAAGTGGCCCGCTCACAAAAGGGTATCTTCATTTCCCAAATAGAGTATGTCCTACATCTACTCCAGGATACAGGAAAATTGGAAGTGAAGCCAATTGATTCCCCTATTGATCCTAACCACAAATTAGGTGACTGCCAAGGTGAACCTATCAAGGATGTGAAACGGTTTCAGAGACTTGTAGGAAGATTGTTATATCTTTCTATGACTCATCCCAACATTGCTTATGCAATGGGTGTTCTTAGCCAGTTCATGCACTCCTAAGACCACTCATCTTGAAGCAGCAGAAAGAGATCTTAGATATCTTAAAAAGTTCTCAGGTGCAGGCTTGCTGTTTCAAAAGCACAGGCATTTGAAAGTTGAAGTGTACACTGGTGCAAATTGGGCAGGATCCTTGAATGGCAGAAAGTCAACTAGTGGCTACTGTACCTTCATAGGAGGAAATCTAGTTATCTGGAGAAGCAAAAAGCTAAATGTGGTAGCTAGATCTAGTGTTGAAGCTGAATATCGGGCAATGGCTCATGGAGTGGCTGAAATTATGTGGCTAAAAAATTTGTTGAGTGAGTTGGGTTTTCCAGTGGACGGACCTATGACCCTATTCTATGATAACAAAGCAGCCATAAACATTGTTGCTAATCCAATGCTACATGATAGAACTAAACACATCAAACTCGACAAACACTTTATTAGAGAAAAGGTCATCACAGGGGAAGTGTGTACTCCTTATGTTATCTCTAAAGATCAATTTGCAGACATCTTTACAAAAGGGCTACATCACTCACGGCGGCATCATGATTTATGTGACAAGTTGGGCATGATTGACATCTATGTCCCAACTTGAGGGGGAGTGTTAAAAGCTGTTATTTCTCTAAGTATAGTACCGCAGGGGTACTATTGTAATTCTACTCTTTTATTTTTTAGTTACTATCGCCCTAGTATATATACTAAAAAGCTGGCGCTGCTAGCAACCTTTTTGGCTCTCAAATCTTTCTTCTCTCTTCTCTCTTCTCTCTCTCTTCTTTCTTCCTCTCTTCTTCTCTGTTGAATAACAAAAATCATCCAAGTGCCCATGAAATTCCTTTTCCCTTGTTGCTAGAACTTCAACTTCCCACAATATCTTTAAAAAAAAGGAATACTATTTCAGTTTTAGCAAAAGATTCCTCAAACAACTCCTCACCATTAGTCTTTGAAATTCAAATCCAATCAGAGATTATACCATTGCAAGCTTGCAATCTAACTCAAGTAAGCATCTTACAAAGTTACAACTCCTCACCATTAGTCTCTTTGAGATTCCAATCCAATCAGAGATTATACCATTGCAAGCTTGCAATCTGACTCAAGTAAGCATCTTACAAAGTTACAACCACCCAATCAAAACAAAAGTAATTACCAACTGGAACATTACCTACTAGGTTTCCCCCAAATTATACATTTCCAAGAAAAGGTCAGCCCACAATGTTTCCCAACATTTATTCTTCTTTCTTACATGAGCACCTTCTACAACATTATTCAAAAATAAAAAAAAATAAATAAAAAAATAAAAAAACTTCACTTGTTTCACTCAAACCATCTTCAAGCCCATGTCATAGATGAGAGATGACATCACTTGACACTAATCAAGTTGGAGGATTTCTCAGAAGAAGATGGTACGAACAAGAGGAGTCCACTCTGACTGGAAGACCTAAGCTGGGCAAAAAAGCATCAGAGCTTCACAAAAGCAGAAGCATAGTAACATAAACTCTTTGATGGATAACAAAATGTTCATTGCTAAAACGAGAAGTACAAAAAGGTAAAGGCATAAGTTCATATCAGCCTCTAAACAAAAGTCTGTTTGACTTTATATAACTCACAAATTTCATTATATCCCAAGAGCTACCTATGAATATCATACATAAACCCTAACTCCCTCTGATCCAAACTACAGTCAAGACAATCAATGAAGAAAGATCCAGAAAACCTCTTTCCTTGAATAATTGTTCAGTATTTTACTTACCATGTTCTCCCCACTGATCAATTTCCCTAACACTCAGTGAATTCATTTCAAGCATAGATGGTCCACAAAATTTGATTTTTGCGTGTATTGGGATGGAATGGACATAAGGGATAAGGAAATGACTTCTCATGATTCTTATTCATCTACTTGCTATTTTTGAAATAGTCTGGCTTAACTGTTCCACTTGCTTTTGGTTAAGAAAGTGTGTAATAGAGAGGTAGGAAGAAGGGAATTATGTTAGTTGGACCAGAAGCTGTCATGAATTTCTACCCAAAAAAAAAAAAAAACAAAGAAGCTGTCATGAATCATGACACTGCTCAGTTTTGCTCTAGAGAGAAGGAAAAGAAATGGCATGACAACTCCTTTGACCTGCATGCATGTCTCATGACATTGTTCAGTTTTGCTCTTCAAGAACATATTTAACAATTATTTACTTCAATAGACCATAAGATTGGAAACTCACCCCCCCCCTCCACTAGTTGTGATTTATTATAACCTAAAAAATGGCCTTACCAGTAGCACAAATAAAAACTAAATTATAAAGGTTGGCCATAATCTAGAAGCATCAGATTACCATGAACTTTTTTTTGCTTTTCTTGTTTTATTCATTTATTTAATTATTTATTTTTGAAAAAGATGGTACTAAGCGTATCTATTTCCTACTTAGAGGCCTTAAGTTTCCTCTTAAAATATTTTATTGAAAAAAAAGAAATTATTAAATAGCTGAAAATTCTTCAGACCAAAGAGATGGATACCATGGAATCATTCTGATTTATAGGTGGACAATAATTTGCAGACTGTTAAATTCAAGGTGGCATGCATGGACTATCATCCCTTCTTTGCACAGTTACAATAACAAAACAAATATATCAGAATGGAGACACCAAATAGCTACTGACCATTTGGAGGATCATCTATTAGTTCAGAGCAACTTTAGACAACCCATGAACAAGCTACGTGCCAAAAAAATAATGTATGGCTTAACTTAGCTCTTTCAAATTAACCACATAGTAACGCATTACATACACCTAGAAAACACAGAATACTGTTTGACAATAAGGAAGACATTAAAAAAGATAGGGGATAAAGACACCAAGAAAAGGTTACCATTAGAAGACCTCAACACCTTGAGAACCATTGTCGTTTCTGTTCCATGCAAAGCAAGGAGCTAGAAGCAATTACCAAAATTTTCAATAAAATGTGCATAAAGCAGGTCCCTATTATCTACCAGAAGACCTCAGTCTGAAATAGGCACTTCTAGTTCAGCACATCCATGTATTGTAACATTTCACATATGGTCAGCATAGTGGAATTTAACAGGAAATCTCCATTTCTTGCTGATTCAACCATTCATCCTCATACAATTCCTCATAACAGAACTATGAGATCCTTCTAAATCGGTCCATGAAAACATTTTCTCCACCCAACTAATGTCTTTATTTTAAAGAGAAGGAAACAGGCAAGGGTCCACTGGGGGCCAGGATGCCTTCTTGCTTAGAATAAGACTTTCACTAACAACATGAAGAAAATATCTCACTCAAGAAGAATGATACTTACCCTCCATAATGGAAAAAATACCTGTACAAAAAGGTAAATAGAGAATATTCAAGAAGCAGTTGTATGCACTCTGATTGCACTTATATAGTTCCAACCATTAGAGCAACTGTGGCACCTTATACAACCACGCTTCATTATCTTCTGACCCAACTGAGAGTTTCCCTGTCTGGAAGTGATTAAGCCAGCTATGAAAACCCCAGTTAAAAGCTCACCTGAAATATTTACAATCAGCAAATGAACTAAAAGCGAGTATTGGAAGAGAAATAGCAGAATTCAATTCTAGTGAATTTAGATGAACAAAACCTGCAATTGATGTGGTCTGTTAATTGATAATATTGTCTATACTGTTCCTATCCCACAAGCAAATTGGGCTGTGGAACCATAAACCTAGAAACTCAGCCATTTGAAAACAAAAAATTAACATATGCAAGAGAACAAAAGAAACTGGACAAGATTCTGAATTTTCTGCATAGACTATAGAAACCTAGACTTAAGAATAATAGAAATTGTAAAACTTAGACAACACAAAAGTTTGATAAGGATAAAAGAAGCCTATCATGCAACGGCTCAAATGGATAGAAACGTCAACTGAGAGCAATATAGGACAGGAAGTAAAAAAAGTGGCAAAAGTTAACATAGAACACTGAAAAGGATGAGGCAAATTGACAAAGAAAACCAGCTTCTAACTGGATAGATTCTTTACAGAATTACTTGTAATTTTGTCCTTGAAAAGCTAATCATGTTACATCGTTTAACCTGAAGAAATGTTTACTTGCAGAACAAAACAGAACTAAAATATATTTACTGAGCCAAACTTCAAGCTTGTTAAATTGTTGCAAACAGAAGGAGAATAAGACATAACCCAAAGGAGGAGGAGGAGAAGGGCATTGAGCCAAACTTCACCTCAGCCATGATTGTAACTTGCACATGGATTAGAACATGTGAACCCTGCTCTACTGAGAGGCCCTCTCTACCCACCATTCGAATAGGGCATTGGCATGTCTTTAAACCCTTTTGTATTCATTATATGCCCAATGGTACTTTTACCCAGATCAATAAAAGCCTAAGGCCTAACAATTCAACACTACATGGCTAATGACAGCATCTATTTCAGACATGGGTGACGTGAAGATTCATATTTTAGATAGTATAGATGAACAATATCTGGACGTACTAGTGTGAGATACCATGAGGATGCCCAATATTCGGCAGTCAAGCAAGTCCAACCTTCATCTAGAGTCTAGAATTTCTTCCCCATGAGACGATTAATTCACCTTATAATCTCTACAGTTACTGCCTTTTGTTTCCTTAACCTCCATTTTCTTCATTTATTTTTCAATGGCACACATTATTTGCTTCCTTTTTTTTTCCATGGTTTGTATTTTCCTCCACTTCAACCATATGCTATCTCATTTCGGTTCAGGTTCCATCAATTCCATAAGCGTATGAATAATGTGAAATGAAACTGAAAGAAAAACAATCAGGATGGAAAGTCAAATTTCACTAACTGCTTGCCATGTAGTTCGCGTAGGCTCAGTTTGAAAGAAGTACAAATATAAATGTGTATAGTACAAATACATATAAAATAATACAAAATACAAGATTTTGCATTCTATAAATTTGCATTTGTACTCCTTCCAAACTGAGCCTTAAGAACAAAATTTTAGACATAGCAAACCAGCCAGGAAAAATTGCCAGAGTTCGTCGTTATCTCTGAAGTTATTACCGGTTAAAACTAATAAGTAGCTAACCAGTCTGAGGATATCGATTCAAACAGAAACAAACGATAAGAAAATAAAAGAACGATGAAATGAATAAGCAGAAAAATCTAAAGAATACGTAATTCTAAAACAAACTCATTACCTATAGGAACAAGAGGATTCTTGGTGCATCTCTTCTCATTAAACAGACATTCTAGTTCAGAATCTGAGATACTTATCTTCTCCATTAATCCACGAAATCAGAAAAACAATAATAAAAATAAAATCAGAAATCACGAGAGCCGGGAAAAGCGAATAAAATTCAAGACCGCCAAAACGAGGAACTCACAGTCACTCTTTCCCTCGAGACGGGATCTGCTGCTCCTCACAAATGGGCGCCTCACATGCACATCCACCGTGCATTGAGAGCATTTCCCGTGAATAATAATTAATAGGTAGGGGAGATATTCCCGATGCATGGTAGGATGTGCATAGGCGCCCCTCACTCTTCGTTCTGTTTTTTCAGATTCAGTCCGGTACGAATTCACATGTGCTGCAAGTTGCAACTACGCCAATTAAACACGGACACGTCAGTGATGAAAACTTCATGAGATCAACGTTTTATTTCCACCGATGACGTGTCCGTGGACAATAGCAAGGAAGTGCTGAGACCACGTTTATATCCGTTGGACTTGGAACACCTGTGGTCAACAACCGGAAAGGCGCTGTTCGTTAAGCCATTTAACGGAGTAAACACTTAGGCTGCATTTTGGCATTCCGCTTATTTTATGGACTTATCTAAAAACTCAGTGTTCATGGCGCATTTTAAATGTAAAAAGGTGATAAATCCCTAAGATAAGGAATGTTAAATGCAGCCTATTCGAATAACCCCCTCATTGGTATTACTTGAAATAAGCACACTCATTCAAATAATTACTGAAAATAAATGGTGGGATTTAGAAAATAAGTATTTATTTATGTTTAGCAAAAAAAAAAAAGTCCAGAATAATTACTTATTTTGAAAATAAGTAGAGCTGGGCCAGTTTATTTTAGTTGATTATAGAATAAATATATATTTTTTTATTTCAGTGAGAACTGTTTTCAAAATACCCACATACAATATGTATCGAAATTTCGAGCCTTTATTCAACTATAGAGCGATTTGATCCCTTATATATATATACAAAAACCTCAAGTCCCCATTTAGAATGTTTTGTCATATTTTGCTGTATTCTTCACTCCGCGATTTGATCCCTTATATGCAAAAACCTCAACTCTGCTTATCTCAACGCTTAAAGCATCAATACGTTCGATACTGAAAAAATCACATCAATCGATTAAAAGCATCGATACACATGGTCTAATTAATTAATATGATATGGGGTTATAGAGTGAATGTGTTTTGGTTTCAAAGCAGTGTGTCTTAATTCTTACTGGCGGGGACGGTCTAATTAACAAGATATGGAGTTATAGAGTGACTGTTTTGGTTTCAAAGCAGTGTATCTTAATTCTTAGTAGAAGGAATATGTGGGATGCATGAGATTTGTTAAACCAAAGTTAAATAATAGAAATATATAAGAGTATAGAATTGTTTTATATTTTTTTATTTTAAAATAATAATAATTATTTATATTTTGGGTTCAATAATGATATAGAAAAGATATGCATGATATTTGAAATTTTTTTGACCAATCAATTGGTATCATAAATGTGGTAGCCAATAGGTGTTATTTATCAAAATTCATGGGTGGTTTTCCATTAATTGGTCAAAACTCTTTTGATACCATATTATCGTATCTTTCCCGCATCATAGATTTTCCCTTATATACTACTATTAATAATTTTTTATAAACACAAAAATAACAGCAATTAATTTCAAGTAGCATTGTTCATCATACTAATGAAACCAACCATCTCGACTCGAATTGGTTGATTTTCTAGTATTTTTTGTTGGATTTGGTCCAACAATTTCCCAAACTGACCAGGTTAGATCAATTTCTCAAACTGACTAGGTCACACACACACACACATATGGAAAAATCCCCATACTTTTTATTCTAAAATATTTTATATCATGAATTTTATTTTCAAATTTATTTTTTAAGTTTGTCTTTTGAATCGACTAACCAAACCGAAAATTGACTCAAACTAATACAACCCGAGCTAGGCAGATTTCACTAATGATAAGTTGGTTTTTGAGTAGGAGTGCAAATGGATCAAATCATTGATCCGATCCAAAAGTCTGATCCTATATTATTGGATTCAAATAGCCCCACTTTGAATCTTCAGATCGAATTAGATAATAGGATCCGATCAAAAATCAAATCAAATTCAGATCACCCAACCCCTATCTGATTCAATAAGATTTGATCCGATATATATTATTTATTTATGTATAAATATATATAACAAACATCTATATATATATATATATATGTTACTTATTTATTCATTTATAAATATATTATTTATATTGCATTTTTGTAAATTTCTTATATTATTAATTTTTTAATAAAAACATGTACATATATGATGAAAATAGTTGAAAAGATACTTGTAGTTTTTGGTTTTTTATTTAAATTGTTATATTTTATTTTAATTTTAATAAGTTATTAATTTTTTAAAAATCAAATCAGATCGGATCAGATCCAAAAATCTGACTTCCTCATTGGATTCGAATTCAGATCCATGTATATCATATCTGGGATCTGCAATTAGCAGTATCAGATCAAATTCAGATATACCCTTATTCAAATTTGATCTGATTTGTTTGCATCCCTAGTTTTGCGTAACCAACTCCCCAACCTAACCACATTGATTTGGTTGGCCAAACAACCTACAATTGAACCAGATCAACCCATGAATACTCCTAATTTTATCTAAATTTATAGTCTAATCTCTAATAAACAAGAATAGTTTAATATCCAATAATTACTGAACATTTATAGCGAAAAAACACAATTATTGAAAATATATTGGTAATAAAAATAAAATAAATATAATCATTACAAAAATACAATAAAATAATAAAAAATATATAAAATTAGTCAATAAATAGTGTAATCTCAAATAATAGTTTAATCTCTAATAAATATTAATCAATAAATTATAACAAAAATACAATAAATATAATAAATTAAACATAAAAAGTTAAATAATAGTGGTTTAATCTCTAATGATCATTGAAAAATTTCTATTAAATAACAAAACAAAAATAGATTTATACATAATTATTGAAAACATATTTATCACAAAAATAAATAATTACTTGAAATACAACAAATGTTGATTTTAGTATATATAAATATATAATAAATATTGATTAAGATTATAAAATTATTATTAATAAACTTTAATTTGTTTGAAAGTTATTTTTCTAGAATTATTAGTTGATATAAGTGAAACTAGTTATTTACAATATTATTTAGTTATTTAAATAATATTATTATTTAAATTTAAAATATTAACTATTTATTGAATTTAATAATCCACATAATTGTAATTTATACTATTATTACATAATTTCGTTATTAATTTTGTAAAATATTAAATTATTATTAATTTGAATATTATGTTATAATTATTTTCTAGTTTTAAGATTTTTTTAAGTTTAATACATAATTTCATTATTTTAACTATTTAAAATCTAGTTATGTTAAATATTTTCTTAGTTAAAATATCTACTTATTTAAATATTTAAATAATATATAAAATATTTAAATTTATTTTACTTGACTTTTTTATTTTAAAGTTATTACATAATGTTAAATATTTTGTTATATAATTATTTAGCTGTTTTTGTTATTTAGTTATTGAAATATTTAAACTATTTTATTTTTTAATGTTAAATATTTATTTATTTGAATAACATTTAAATTGAACAATCCGGAAAACAATAATTTTGTAAAAATATAAAATTGTTAATAATTAAATATATTATAACTATTTTTGTGTTTTAAACAAGTATTTTAAAGTTATTATATAATTTTGTGACTATAAAATCATTTTTAAAATCTTTAATTCAAATTTTCTTTAGATTAATATAGATAAAAAAAGTGGAGGAGAGAATTAGAGATAATTTAGGAGAGAAATCTCTATTAAATTAGAGATGATTTAGGAGAAAGTGAGGGATAGTGGGGGAGATAGTTTAGGAGAGGATATTATTTAGGTTATTGGGAACATGTGGGATCGAGAGAGAGAGAGAGAAACTATTTTTTGTGTTTTCAATAAATATTTTAAAGTTATTATATAATTTTGAGAGAATATTAAATAATTTTCAATTTTTTTAATTTAAACTTTATTTAGATAGATATAGATAAAAAGTGTGGGAGAGGATAAATATGATTAGAGAGAATTTAGGAGAGAAATCTCTATTAAATTAGCAATAATTTAGGAGAAAGTGAGGGATAGTGGGGAAGGTACTTTACAAAATTTTTAGGAGAGGATATTATTTAGGTTATTGAAAAAGAGAGAGAGAGGTTTTAGATAATTTTTATTGAGAAGGAGAACAAATTTCTTAAACTAACCCTAAAGTTTAGGAATTTGACTATCTATACCCTTACTATTTCAATATTATCTCAAAGTATGTTAATGTTTCTGACAATTGACTAAATCTTCATTATTAAAAAGACTATTTTGCCCATCCTTTTTCTTTAAATTTTCAATGTCAAAGCTTATCTTTGCCTTGAAGAAGGTCTTACACAATCTCTTCCACGCGTCTTTGTTCGTCTCCCACTGCTCGACGCTTGTCTTTGCCGCTTCAAAACCCTACTCAAACACTCACCCCATCATCGACACGGTGATCGCCATCGACAACGACGGCGATTGCTGCAACTACCGAACGGTTGCTTACATCTCATCTTTTTCTCTCAAGAAATTCGAGGCAAACCCCATCTTCGACTCACAAGTTGTTCTTCCCTTAACGTTACTTGTTCGTCGATTCTAGGCGCTGAGCGCCTCATGTACAATCAACCCGTTAGGTTTGTTGACGCTCCCGTCAAATTACCTCTGGCGCCATCCCGAGCAGGGTCACCTTCTTTAAATTTCTTCTCGTTTCTCTTTTCTCTCCTCTCTCTCTCTCTCTCTCTCTCTCTCTTACAGCTCTTCTTCTTCTTATTCTTCCCCATCGATCTCATCCCCTGTTTCAGTCTGAAACGTAGGTGCGGCATATGAAAATTCTCTCTCTCTCTCTCTCTTCCCGTTCTTCTTCTTCTTCTTTCTTCTTCCCCATCGATCTCACCCCTGTTTCAATCTGAAACGTAGGTGCGGCATATGAAGATTCCCTCTCCCTCCCCCCCTCTCTCTCTCTCTCTTCCCGCTCTTCTTCTTCTTCTTCTTCTTCTTCTTCTTCTTCACCATCGATCTCACCCCCCTGTTTCAATCTGA